CTTGAACAAAATCTGATCAGAATTTTAATTCTGTGGGTTGGGAAACACTGTGTGAGAAATCTGAGTGTATTGTGCAAGGTGAAGATGAACGGAAACGGCAACATGAACACCAAGCTTCCAGTATTTGACGGTAAAAACTGGAATCGTTGGATGATCCAAATGCGTGTACCGTTTGGTGCTCAAGATGTTTTAGATCTTGTCACTGATGGTTATGTTCCGGTAGCAGCAGATGCAACAGATGAACAGAAAAACGCGCAGAAGGAAGTAAGGAAGAAGGATCAGAAAGCATTATTCTTTATTCATCAATGTGTTGATGTAAATGTGTTTGAGAAGATTGCAGATTCAACGACAGCAAAGGCTGCGTGGGACACACTGGTTAGATGTTATGGTGGTGACGCATCAGTGAAGAAGGTGAAGCTTCAGTCCTTGAGAAAGCAATATGAGAATCTCAACATGAAGAATAATGAGAAAGTTTCTGAATACATCTCCAGAGTGATTCTGATCACTAATGAGATGAAGGCGTGTGGAGAAACTCTTTCTGAAGAAACAATCATGGAGAAGGTATTGAGATCCCTTACCTCTCAATTTGATTACATTGTGGTAGCAATAGAACATTCCAAAGATCTGAGTACCATGAGAATTGAAGAGCTGCAGAGCAGTTTAGAAGCGCAAGAGTTGCGTTTGACTGAGAGAACTTCTGAAAGGGAAGTAGAGCAGCAGGCTCTGAAAGCAACTTCTGATAGGAGGTATCAGAAGCAGTCAGAAGCCAAGAGAAGATCTGATGGTGGTCAGAAGTCAGAAAGCTCAATCTCTGATAGGCAAAAGAATGCTCAGAAGGGAAAAGAGAAGTATGACAAGAAGAAGATCCAATGTTACTGTTGTAAGAAGTTTGGTCACTTTGCTAGAGATTGTTGGTCAAACAAGGAGAAGAAATCAGAAGAAGCAAATATAGCCAGAAGTTCTGATGATGAATCTGTGCTATTGATGGCCTCTGAATCTGATGATCTGACAGACTGGTGGTATATGGACACTGGCTGTTCAAATCATCTTACTGGAAACAAGAAATGGCTGGTTGACTTTGACTCTGAAAAGAGGACAAAGATCAGATGTACTGATGACAAATATCTTAATGCAGAAGGTATGGGAAATGTCAGAGTGACTCTGAACAATGGGAAAACAGCATTGATTCAGAACGTGTGGTATGTACCTGGCATCAGAAGCAATCTGATGAGTGTGGGACAATTAATTGAGAAAGGTTTTTCAGTTACCATGAAGGACAATCTTCTGAAGTTGTATGACTGCAATCAGAAGTTGATTATGGAGTCAGAACAGGGAAGGAATAGAACATTCAAGGTGAATGTCAGAACTGCAGACTCAGAATATCTTAGTGCAACATGTGTTGAAAAGGAGAGTGAGCTGTGGCACAGAAGATTTGGTCATTTGAATTTCAAAAGCCTAAAACATCTTAATTCAAAGAAGTTGGTACATGGAATTCCTGCAATTAAGAAGCCTGAGAAGTCATGCAAAGTTTGCATGGAAGGAAAACAACCACGTTTGCCATTTGCGTCAGAAGTTGCTCCAAGAGCAAAACATGCCTTGGGAGTTGTACATTCTGATGTGTGTGGTCCATTTCCAGTAGCATCAATTGGAGGGAATAGATACTTTGTGTTGTTTGTTGATGAATTCACAAGAATGACATGGGTATCCCTTATTAAATTTAAACATGAGGTGTTTGATGAATTCAAGAAGTTCAGAATGAAGGCTGAGAATCAGAGTGGTCAGAAGTTGAAGATTCTTAGAACTGATGGTGGAGGTGAGTATAACTCCAAAGAGTTCCAGAAGTTCTGTGAGGAGAATGGAATTGAGCATGAGGTTACTGCTCCTTATACCCCTCAACACAATGGTCTTGCTGAAAGAAGAAACCGTACTTTGCTTGATATGGTGAGAAGCATGCTAAAGGAGAAGAAGCTTCCTCAGAAGCTCTGGGGAGAAGCTGTTGCCACTGCAACGTATGTACTCAACAGATGTCCTACGAAGAAGTTGAAAGAAATAGTTCCAATACAGAAGTGGACTGGAGATAAGCAAAGTGTTAGTCATCCGAAGGTGTTTGGTTCTGTTTGTTATAAACATGTTCCAGAAGCCAGAAGACAGAAGCTGAATGATAGAAGCAAAGTGATGATTTTGATAGGGTACCACAGTACAGGTGCATACAAGCTCTATTGTCCAAAAACCAATAAAATTGAATTCAACAGAGATGTGATTGTGAAGGAATCAGAAGTTTGGAATTGGGATAAGTCTCAATCTGATTCTGATGTTAGAACTTCTGAAGAAAGGTCAGAGTTAAGAATTTCTGAAGTTGAAGTAAACTCTGACGTTGATTCTGACTCTGATAGTGATTCTGACTCTGGAGAAGACTCAGAAGATGAAGGTGACTCTGATGATCCAGACTCTGATGGTAATCCAGATTCTGGTGGAAATTCAGACTCTGAAGATGGCCAAGACTCTGAAAATATGCCAAATCTTGAAGATGGTCAAAGCTCTAGAGGAAGTCAACCATCTGAAGCTGGAAACTCTGAAGCTCAAGACTCTGAACAAGTTCATAGACCACAAAGAATCAGAAGCGTTCCCAGAAGATTTGCAGAGTTTGACATGTTGCAAGACACTGAAGTAGACTCTGAAGGAGAAGTTATTCAGTGTGCCATGTTAGTAGACTCTGAACCTATAAGTACAGAGGAGGCTCTTAAGCAGAAGCTCTGGCTGAAGGCCATGAAAGAAGAACTTGATGCTATAGAGAGAAACAAGACTTGGAAGCTGACAGAACTTCTAAAAGACAAGAAAGCCATCAGCGTCAGATGGGTTTTCAAGCAGAAGTTGAAGCCAGATGGTTCAATTGGCAAACATAAAGCAAGGTTGGTAGCCAGAGGATTTCTACAGAAACCTGGGCTGGATTATTCTAAAGTATTTGCACCTGTAGCAAGACATGAAACAGTCAGAATGGTGATTGCAATAACTGCTAACAGGAATTGGCCTCTGATGCATTTAAATGTAAAATCTGCATTTCTGAATGGTCCATTAGAAGAAGAAGTTTACGTGTCACAACCTCCTGGATTTGTAAAAAAGAATCAGGAAGGGATGGTGTACAGATTATACAAAGCTCTATATGGATTGAAACAAGCGCCCAGAGCTTGGAATCAGAAGATTGATTCATTTTTTAAGAAGCAAGACTTTCAGAAATGTGAGATGGAGTACGGTGTCTATGTTCAGCATACTTCTGAAGGCAATATGACTCTGGTATGTTTATATGTTGATGATATACTATTGACTGGAAGTTCTAAATAGGAGATAACCAAGTTCAAGAAGGTTCTAATGAATGAATTTGAAATGACTGATCTAGGCAAAATGACATACTTTCTAGGGATGGAGTTCAGATACTCTGAGAAAGGTATCATTTTGCATCAGCTCAAGTATGAATTAGAACTTCTGAAGAGATTTGATCTGAAGAATTGTAAGATGGCTGTCACACCTTCTGATACAAATCAGAAACTGGATTCAGACTCTGAAGGAAAGGATGTGGACGCTACAACCTTCAAACAGTTGGTTGGTTCTCTGAGGTATCTGTGCAATACCAAACCTAATATTTGCTACTCAGCTGGGATGGTTAGTAGGTTCACGAGTAAACCTAAGTGGTCCCATTACCAAGCTGCTGTCAGGATTCTGAGGTATATCAAAGGAACTCTGAAGTATGGAGTGTTATTTCCCTCTGGAGGAAATAATGAGTCAGAACTTCTGAGTTATTCAGCCTCTGATTGGTGTGGAGACAGAGTTGACAGAAGAAGTACATCTGGGTACTTGTTCAAATTTCTGGGAGGTTCCATTTCTTGGTGTTCCAAGAAGCAACCTGTTGTGGCGTTGTCAACCTGTGAAGCTGAATACATTGCAGGTGCTGTTACTGCATGCCAAGCTGTGTGGATTCTGAATCTGTTGCAGGATCTGAAGATTAAAGTAGACAAACCTCTGAAGTTGATGATTGACAACAAGTCTGCAATCAATCTTGCAAGAAACCCAGTGTTGCATGGGAGAAGCAAGCATATTGAGACCAAATATCATTTTCTGAGACATCAAGTTCAGAGTGGAGTGTTAGAAGTTGTACACTGCAGCACTCAGAAGCAGTTGGCAGATGTTCTGACGAAAGCTATCAAGACTGATCAATTTCTTAGACTAAGGGATGGAATTGGTGTTACAAGTTTTGATGGAATATGAATTAAGGGATGGTATTAGAATATTAATAGTAATTCATATTTATTTAGTTGTACTATTTTCTTAGCCCCTAAGTTTGTTAGAGGTTATTTTAGTATTTTATCTTATTCTGGTAACCCTAGTTTTAGCTTATAAATAGGGTGACAATCATTGTAACTTTTAATCATGTTTTTGTAGCCGTCATTCTTAATAGAATATTTCCTTTGTTCATCATTTATTCACCTTTGCACCAACATCTTTTATATTAAGGGTTGAGTACCCCTTTACTCCTCATTAATGCATCTTGTTTATAAAAAAAATTATTAATATAATTATATCAAAATCCAAATTCTAATTTTATATTAATATAATTATATCTACAAATTCAAATTCAAATTCTAACTTCACAATTAATACTATATTAAAAAAAAATTAAAATCCATTTATTAAGTTTTGACAATAATTATCTACGAATCCAAATTTTGATTATAAAAATTTAAGATTCAATTTCTCACTAACAATATTGAACTTTATACAATATGTACTAGTAACTCTTTAGATGTCAATAGATTATTGTTTTAAAAGAAAATGATTTGAATATTAGTAACTTTTAAATTGATTCATAAAACAATTGTCTTAAATCTATTCTTTTATTATATTATTAATGTATAATTTATTTATTGAAAATTATAATCCATTAAAAAAATAGTTGGAACTAGATATAATATAGTTCATTGTTGAGATCACTCTTGTTTCTGCAAACAATGTTGAACTTCAACTATCCACTTCTTCTTCAACTTCTCTTTTTCATTCTAACTTTTTCACTTCCAGTTGCACTGTCTAACCATGAAGCGATAGAATCTTTGCTTCACCGCTTGGATTCCAAAAGGGCACTTCCATCCGTGCAAGAAGCCGCTGCTAGAGGTGTTCTTAAAAGGCTTCTTCCCACTCATTTGTCAAGCTTTGAGTTCAAGATAGTTTCCAAGGTTTTTTGTTTCCCCTTTTCGTTTTGGAATCGATTCTTTTCGATAATGAATTCCATTTTGTGTTTGATTCTTAGTTTTCATTGAGTTTTTGGTTTTTCAATTTTGTTTTTTCCTTTGTCACTTCTGTATTAGTTGTTGACTTTGTCCAATCAAGATTAACAGCTTGATTAAGCGCTTATAAAGTAAGTGTTTATCATATTAGTGCTTATGTATAAGCTATAAATAAGTTTATGGAGAGCTTATGGAAATGAGTTGAAATTTGAAAATAGCTTATGAACTTGTTAGTGGCTTTTTTCATAAGCTCTGTGAAATAGTCTCATTAGTGCTTATGCCAATTGATAAGTTCAAATAAACCAATCTTATCAGGTTCTTAAAAAGTAAGTGTTTATGATATTAGTACTTCTGTATAAGTTGTTTTCGTAAGCTATTATGGAGAGCTTATGGAAATGAGTTGAAATTTGAAAATAGGTTATGAACAATGTTAGAAGCTGTTTTTGTAAGCTCTCCAAAACAGTCTCACTAGTGTTTATGACAATAGATAAGTTCAAATAAACCAATCTGATCAGGTCCTTATCATATGAAGTAAGAAGAGATAATCCTCGGTTACTTCTTTACATGATACTTTTATTAGTTGACTTGGTTGCATAATATAATACTATGAAGCCACACCAAAAACACGACACTTACACTAACATTGACACATCGATACTGGTAATAATTTTAAAAAAAAAGAATAAATTAAACGTAATCACAAGTGTTGGTGTCGGTTTCGAACAACGACACTGACACGGACACACCTTTTATCAGATGTGTCAGTCTAGTGATAGTTTCTATGCATGCTACTTTTGGTAGAAGCAGAAATGACTATGCTGTCATGTTTATCTGGGCAAAGTAGTTAGTGTTAATGTGATTTGTTATTTCTATTTTTAGTGAATACACTTTTAGTACTGTAAAATTGGAAAATTTTGACTTTGTTACTTCAAGAATTTTATCTGTTTTAAGTCCTTAAAACTTGCAAAAATTGTGTGATTTTAGTCCTGATAACTTGGAAGAGTTTGATGAGAAATAAAAACATACCATGTGTTACGAGTCTCACATCATATAATATATGACCTGATCATGTGTTTATAAATGGGGGAATTCCTCACTCTACCAACCGGTTTTGTAGGATTGAGTTAGGTCCAACCACATTCCTTGACATGGTATTAGAGCTTAGCTTAAGATCCGGTGGGCCACCTACTATGCTTTCCGCTATCGGACCATAGTAGGGACTAGAATTGATTAGAAGTTCTATATGATCAAAATCAAATTTTACCAATATTTTAGGGATAAAAAATGTTGGTTTTCTTTCACTTAACTGTACTGTTATGTTATCATGCCAAAGACATTAGCCTTTGCATCTGTGCACTTATTTTTCATGGTTGAATGTTATAATATGATTTGTATATTTTCAGGATGTCTGTGGCAGAGGCAGTTGTTTTATGATAAACAATCACAAAAAGACAAGGCATAATGGGCCAGAGATTATGTATGTCAATTGAAATTCATACTGCAGACGGGTTCATATTTGTTATTCCTTTTGGATTCTTGGTTTTCTTTAAATTGCGAGATTCTTGGATTTCTTTTGTTTACAACTTATTTTTCTTCTCTTTCTTTTCACGTGCTTATCTTGATTTTAATGTAGAAAATGTTAAGGAGCTTCATGATGACAATACTGTTTGAAAATCTTAAATTAGTCTAGTACTTTAATATTCTGTATAATATCGTGTATAAAAATTTCTAGCATTGAATTGCTGTAAAAATATAATTATACAAGTTTCTTGATGGAATGGTTTGTTTTCATTGTCCTAAGTTAGTTGTTCGCATATATGGTCACTTGATCGGTTTTTCTTCCTTCTTTAATATGAACTGACATTCTATTGTTTATATATTTCTCAGTATTAGAGGAACCACTGGTGTTGAGATTGTGTCTGGCCTCCATTGGTATCTTAAGTATTGGTGCGGTGCTCATATTTCATGGGATAAAACAGGTGGCATTCAGACAACTTCGATCCCCAAGCCAGGGTCACTACCCCTTTTGAAAGATGATGGTGTGAAGATTAAACGTCCTGTTCCGTGGAACTATTACCAAAACGTCGTGACTTCAAGTTGTGAGTACCAAAATCAGCTTTCCACGGAATAAAACATCTCTCACGTTTTTCTGTAGTGCACAACTGTTTTCATACAAACTATAAGCTGTTTTCATAAGCTATCATGGAGAGCTTATGGGAATAAGCTAAAAACAACTTATAGACATGTCATAAGCTATTTCTATAAGCTTTTCCAAAAAGTTTCACAAGTGATTGTGCAAATAGATACGTTCAAATATGTCAATCCAAGCAGGTCAGGTCAATGAAATACTGGATTTACAGTTGACGACGTGCTTTTCTCACATGTGGGTGGGAGTAATGGCAAAGGTCATATGCTAAATATGAGGCAAAACACGTATTTAGGACACAGCGTATTATTCCATCTGTGAGAGGTGTTATGTAATATCACATTCTTCTTGGTTCTTTGCAGATTCATTTGTTTGGTGGGATTGGGAAAGGTGGGAAAAAGAGGTGGACTGGATGGCACTTCAGGGGGTGAACCTGCCCTTGGCATTCACCGGGCAGGAAGCTATCTGGCAAAAGGTTTTTAAGGTAAGTGCTAGTTGGATGAATAGCTTCACATTTTCATTGAAGTTTCTTTCCTGATTCAGTAATAGATATATATTTGTACAGAAAATAGTAGAAATTTTTGTCTTCATTCTTCACTTCCTTTCCTCAAAATAAAAAAGAAAACAAAAGTGTTATAGTCTTTGAGAGTACTGGAAAAAATTAATCGGGTCAACAATATTTTGATGGAATGCCAGGAGTTCCAGGGACACAATGTTGTAGTTTATTATCTTAAAAATCTATTTAATAAAATTTTCTCTTGCTATAGTTATTTGACTAGTATCTTTTAACCATAGGATTTTAACATTAGTTCAGAAGATTTGAACAGTTTCTTTGGTGGACCTGCTTTTCTTGCTTGGGCGCGCATGGGAAATTTACACGGGTAGGTAAAAGTAGTAATTTAAACCCTGTCGTTGATTTCCATTCTGAATTAAGTAATCTTGTGTTTTGTGTTCATTATTCATTCGTATTTCATATTGAACTACATTTTATTCAATGACAAAAGATCATGAGAATTATAGTTCTTAGAGATTAAAGAAGAAGAATAAAGAGTTAAGATTGTTTGATGTGACTTTAATTTTGCCTGTTTAATTGTGCCGAACCTTAGTTCCATTTCAGCATGAAATTTTAGTTACAAATGGTGTGATGTAAGAGGACGATTCTAAGTGACGGTCGAAATGAGAGACTTCACAACATCTGGTACAAAGGTATTTGTCGTATGGAGAGAGAATTATGTTCAAAAGGAGCTCTAGGTTAAGATTCAGGGAGGGTCTGAGGTTTCACTCGGAAGTCTGGGCTTAGATGAAGCTTTAACTGTAAACAGATTCAAGCTCTGAACTCTAGGTCAAGTTTTGAAAAGGAACAGAGGGTTTCATTTAAAGATCTAAGAGCCAGAGTGAAGTTTTGATTTTAATAGCTGAAGGGAGCATAAGAGACACACTCCTAGGATGTCTTTAGACCTTTTCCTTTCATTGCCATCATACTTGCTAACTTGTGAGTGAATTCACGAGTTTTCCTTAGAATTTGAGTCTACCTGAGTCTATGCAGAAATGAGTCTGTGCACGCACTGACACCTTTTTTTCTACCTAGACTTCATGAAATCTGAGTTTAGCATCCAGGATTGTTAGAACTGTGAAGGGTATAGAGTCCTGCACATTCCTTGGCATTGCCGATTTTCCTCCCTGATTCCAGACCCTGAAATTCATAATTGTTTGGAAAAAAGTCAGGGATGCTGTTAAGACCCTTGGCAAATTTGCTAATGGACTGCAAACTACAGGTCAAATGTGTCGGACACACATGAATATATATATGATAGAAAATGTACACATTGCAACAAGCCTGACACTGTTTCTCCTAAATTCAGCATTGAAACTCCTAAGGTAAAGAAAAAGTTCAGCTGGTAATGTTTTGGTAAATATCCTTTCTAATTTTTCTGATAAAAGGATTACTAAACAAAAATGAAATAGAAAACTACAAATAATTACTAAACAATCCGATACCTAAACTTCAGAGATTGGGATCAGAATCCAACTAGTAAAAACACATTCCATTATCAATCTTTGTATAATATAGCAGGTGTCATGGATAAGGTAGCTGTTATCTTTTCAGGTGCTTTGGTTTCTAATGAGATCTATCTTTTCACAGATGGGGAGGGCCTTTATCTCAAAACTGGTTAGATCAACAATTGGTCTTACAGAAACAGATAATCTCTCGAATGCTGGAGCTAGGGATGACTCCAGGTATACTCATGCCATAAGACATGCAAATTTGGTTTATGAATTTCCTTGGTTGGTATCCATATTTACAGAGGGGAAAATGGTTTATAGTCTCAAATTCTATGATACATTTTTCTGAATTTACTGCTCTGATTTATCAATTAATTTTTTAATGTTCTAGTGTTACCATCCTTCTCTGGAAATGTTCCGGCTGCATTGAGGAAGATATTTCCTTCTGCAAAAATAACTAGACTTGGTGACTGGTAATTCACTTCTCTTTTTGTAACATTGTTCATTTACCAGGTAACTCATGTTTCGGTGTTAGTTTCTTTAGTATCCAGTTGCATGCGTTTGAATTCCTAGCACTGAAACATGTATATATACTGCTATTTTCAGTAATTGGCATGTTTTGGATTTATTGCTTTCATTCCAGCTTATACTTTTTTTTTCTTCTTTTCCAGTTTTAAATGTTTATCATTCCATGTATTTATCAATAAAGTTGTTTCGTTAATATTGCTTCCAGGAACACTGTTGATGCTGATCCTCGCTGGTGCTGCACTTACCTTCTCGATCCCTCTGATCCTCGGTTTGTTGAAATTGGAGAGGCATTTATCCGCAAACAAATTAAAGGTGTGCCTAGTTTCACTCTTTTTCTTTGATTAGTAAAGCTCCAATTTGCAAAGGGGAAACCAAACATGTGAAAAAGTGAATTCTCGCTTTAAGTTCCTGTTTTGTAACACAGTATATACCCTTTCATTTGTTTTTCTCAAATCCATGAAACTCAACCATTATGTATTCCTAATAGGACAAAACTTCTAGTATTCGAGGATATTGGCTCAAATATTTTGTTTTCTTCCTTGTATTATCCATCATAATTTTGACATATTTCCTTAAATTTTACAGAATATGGGGATGTAACAGACATATACAACTGGTAGATTCACTTGTCCTCAATACTTAACATTATTATTTTCTTGGACAATTTGGTCGCAAGTTGATTTTCTACCATATCTATTTGTCGTATTTCTTTTCATTGGCATTTCATCTTATATAATGTACAAGTTCATAAATTAAACTTGACATGTTCACTTGTTTATGAACTTTATTGGCCTCAACCACACACGGCCAATATTTTTCACTGAACTGGAGTGAGTTTCTATTCTTGGTTACTCTTGATTGCTAACATACACATGATACTGTTTACTGCAGTGACACCTTTAACGAAAACTCCCCACCTACTAGTGATCCGGACTATATATCAACTCTTGGAGCTGCAGTATATCAAGGCATTTCCAAGGGTGACAAAGATGCTGTGTGGTTAATGCAAGTATGCTTCAATTGATTATCGATCTTTCCATTTCCTGTTTTAATTCCTTACATATCATTTATCCTAAATACATAACTTTTTTTTATAAACATTTCAATTTTGGAAGCGACTCTATTATTTAATAAATTCAGATGTTTGTTTTACTCTTAATCTTTTTACTTCTGCTGTGGGTGTTTTTCTTATTGGTTTGTGTTATCGAAGAGTTACAGTTATCCTCTTTCCCATTTCTATTCATGAATATTTTGGTTCCATTTGTACAATGATGTTTAGCTGACGAATATTTATGATTTTGCAGGGCTGGCTCTTCTACTCTGATTCATCATTTTGGAAGCCACCTCAAATGAAAGTACGAGATATCTTGTCTTCTTCAATATTTGTATGCGCATATATGTTTTTTTTGGTTTCAGTTTGTCAACACATGCCAATAAAACAAAACATTTTCCCACTAGGTTGGGTAAATTATTTGGATCAAACAATGATATTATGTCATGAACTATGGCCATAGATAAGCCATTTAATTACGTCTTTTTTGATAGTTTGATCCAAGGCATCTAAATTGCAAGTTAATTCACAATGGTGGAGTCTCTTACGAGTTTACATGCCTCTGTTTTCCATCTTCTCTATTTGTTGTCTTTGTTCCAGACATCAAGTTCTACTTCTCTATTTTTCGTAGCAGCATAACAGGGAAGCTTTGTATGTGTTGCTTCTCATTCTCGTGTGATAATGGAAAGGGGAATCAGTTAGCCATTGAGTAGGGAGTGTCGGATGTTGTTTAGGATTTGTGAATGAATGACTATGAATTTTACGCTACGTGAGAAGGATGCGGAAAAATGAAATTAAAATTTAGTAATGATTTTCTTGTTAAAAATGTATTTTTAAATATTATTATTATTGCATTTATATTTTTTTGTAAGATCTTACTTTTTGTGCTACGGTGTCACAATCCTACATTGAGTTGCATGTTTTTCCCCCATCAAGGACTCTAAAATTCTCAAATCTCTCTTCCTCCTCCTCTTCTCTGGTTCATTAGCTAGCACCAAGAATTACAGAATTATTTTGTTTTACTATGTATGATACTATTTGCAGGCACTTTTACAATCTGTTCCAGTTGGGAAAATGGTCGTTCTTGATCTATTTGCCGAAGTAAAACCAATATGGAAAACTTCCTTTCAGTTTTATGGTACTCCTTATATATGGTAATTTGCTTTTTGATAGCCCGTCTTACTTGAAGAATGAAGATATATGATGTTCTAAACAACAATCATGCTTTCTCGATCTTACTTTGCTCCAGGTGCATGCTACATAATTTTGGTGGTAATCTTGAAATGTACGGTGTTTTGGATGCAATTGGTTCAGGGCCTGTTGATGCTCGCGTCAGTGAAAACTCGACAATGGTACAACTATTGTTTTACGTCAACAATTTACAAGTTCTTGTATGTTAGAAACTTAAAAGACTTGAGCAATGCATATCGATTCTTCATTTTGTTGGCATAATACTTTTTCAGAAGTATGATTGGAAATTTTTTAGCTGTTCCTTTTCCTGATTTATTGCAACTAAATTCTGATTTTTAAACATGTCTCACTAATGTTTTATGCAGGTAGGTGTTGGTATGTGCATGGAAGGGATAGAGCATAATCCTATCGTTTTTGAGCTAATGTCTGAAATGGCATTTCGCAATGAGAAAGTTAAAATTAATGTAATGTTGTTTATATGCTAGTATGCTCTCTACAAGTTTGAAATTTGTATTTACTAGTTTTTTTTTCCGCATTCTAATCTGTTATGTAAGCTGACATTAGCTGCTGCATCTTAACTTTGTGCGAGTTTCTATGAAAATCCGTGAAAACTATGCGGTCCGACACTCACATCAGCTTATAATGTCTTTTCTTGAGTGACAAATCATAAATTCATTTTTCTTACAGGAATGGCTCAAGAGTTACTCCCATAGACGATATGGTAAAGCAATTCATCAAGTTGATGCTGCATGGGAGATCCTTTATCATACAATATACAACTGTACTGACGGAATTGCTGTATGTATTTTATGCGCTGATTTCTGTTGAAGATTACTTCATCATCTTTCCGGTAGTTTAGTGTTTTTTATGTTTACGTCATCATCTGACTTGGATGCTGATTCCGGCCAACACATAAATTTACGGCAGGATCATAACCATGATTATATTGCTATGCTTCCTGACTGGGACCCATCCACAAACGATAAATCTGGTATGTTAAACCATCAAAAGAAAATTTACTTCTTGCCCCCTGGAAATAGACGATACTTATTCCAGCAAACACCAGCTGGTATGCCACAGGCTCATTTGTGGTATCCTCCGGAAGACGTGATCAAAGCATTACGACTATTCCTAGCCGGTGGAAAGAATCTCACAGGAAGTCTCACATATAGGTAATCTATTCAGCTTAGTATATGCCACTCGCTCCGTGAACGTGTGATAAAAATAACACTGTTATCTTTTTAACAGGTACGACCTTGTTGATTTGACTCGACAAGTATTATCGAAATTTGCAAACCAAGTATACATCGAGGCAGTTACATCGTTTCAGAAGAAGAATATTGATGCTTTGCAGTTGAACAGCCATAAGTTCCTCCAACTGATAAAAGATATTGATTTATTGCTTGCTTCTGATGATAACTTCCTTCTCGGAACTTGGCTTGAGAGTGCCAAGAAACTCGCAGTAAATCCAAGTGAGTTGAAGCAGGTGAGGACATATCGTTTTCGCAAATACTTGAAACTGGCGCGCTTTTCATCCAAGTAGTTCTCATCTTGTTATTGTTTAGACATCGTTCGAGTAAATAAATTGTACGGTTTACCGTTTCTCTTCAGTATGAATGGAATGCTAGGACACAAGTGACTATGTGGTTTGACACAAATGAAACTACTCAGAGCAAGCTCCACGATTACGGTAATACACCTCAGTAAACTTTACAATGCTTATTTCATTCTTAATTTTGGTTTTGACGATTTTGCTTTGCGTGGTTTCTGATTAGCCAACAAATTTTGGAGCGGGATTTTGGAAAACTACTATCTCCCACGAGCTTCAACCTATTTTAATCATTTGTCAGAAAGCTTGAAACACAACGAAAAGTTCAAGTTGATCGAGTGGCGAAAACAATGGATTCCAATGTCGAACAAATGGCAAGAAAGTAATGAGCTATATCCAGTTAAGGCCAAAGGAGATGCTCTAGCAATTTCGCAATCTCTCTATGAAAAATATTTTTCATAAAAATCACAAGGAAGATGCAAGTAATAACAAGTCCATCATTTCAAATAGCAATGTTAAGCACTGGTTGTTGTGTTCATGTAATATATTCAAGAATTTAATTGGTATACACTTATTACATTCAAGAATTTAATTGGTATACACTTATTTTACACTGTCAACCAATCATTCTCGTGTATCCCGCCACATCAGACTGTAATTTTTAAGTTAACGGTATGACATGACAGATTTTAACAAATTTCTATTTTTTCTTAAAATAAATATAGACTTGATATTTCCCTTTTTTTTTTCTTAAAAGTTTGAAGTGCAATAAAATACAAACAAATTTTCCATAAAAAAGTACAAATATACTTACTAATCAAAAGATACATTGAATATGTAGAAAAAGTCATGTATTTGCACATGTTTGAAAAATAAAAATATCTAAGAAACCAAAAGCAAGTAAATAACATAGACATTTTCATGCCACTACCTCTCACAAGACAAAAATGATTTGTCTCCATTTGTCACAATTTGTGTGGATAGTATCATATTAGATATCATATTACCATATTTCAATGATCTTTTTACTAAGAAAAAAAGAAGCTATAGTAACACAAATTCAATGGCTCTTTCTTGTTACACCTTCATCACTCCTTCTATACCCTCTCTTTCTCTACACAATCATCCTTCATCAAAGCTTCCCGTAAGAGTTTCTTATATAAATGCTTCATTGAGCTCTTCTTCATCTGATTCCAAGGCAAAATCATCATCATCATCACCACAAAATGTGCCATCTTCAACCCCTTATGTTGAGTCTAGACCAAATGAGCCTGCCTTTAACTATGCCTTTGCCAACACTAATGGCAACCCACTTTTTAGGATGATTCAAAACACAGAATCTTCTATTGAAAGGGTATTTTGGTCATTTCATTTGTTATTGTTCTTGTTGTTTTGATCTAGTTCCATTAATATTTGTCAGTTCTGAAATTACTCATATATTCACATGGTCTACATATTATAGTAACTAGAATCAACATGTTATAGGGACTAATTAAAAACAATGAGGACCAATAGTAAACATTCATATGTTTGAGATTTTGAAATTTTGAGTTGAGATGAAAATACTTCAAGAAACACGAGCGAAATTGTCAGATAGAGTTCTTAATGCAGTCAAACGTGTGATTTTAAATCACATTGTAATTGCGGTCTAATGCGGTTGTAGAGACTACTGCATTAGCAATATTGCGGCCACGCAATTTAAAATTAGCAATATTGCAGCCACGCAATTTAAAAGCATGTTTGTGATCGTCATGTATTCAAATTTAAAATAGACTTATTATGCTGATGCCAATTGAGATGACAGTGATCAAAGCATTTTGCAATATGAGAAACTGTCATGCTTTTATATTATGAAATGAAATGAAAATTTTCATTTTCAATCTTCATGATTTTGTGTTGACAGGTGATTTTCGACTTCCGTTTCTTGGCACTCTTTGCTGTCGCAGGTTCCTTGGCTGGCTCACTCCTCTGCTTTCTAAATGTATATTTCCTTAACACCTTTAATAAAAGATAGCTTATGACAACTACTTATAGCTTATATGAAAATTGTTTGGTTTCATTTTAGTTTTCATGCGATAATGTCCGGTAAAATTTAACACGAACTAAGTTTCATATATTTGAATGTGTATATAATCTTGGATGATTTCAGGGTTGTGTCTATATTGTTGGTGCATACAAAGTGTATTGGACAAGCTGTGTCAAAGGAGTTCACACAGGAAAGATGGTTCTGCTCCTGGTCGAAGCAATTGGTAATTTGTGATATTTCATACGTACTCTACGAACTTGTCTCAAATTGTTTCTACTTTTGTTTTTCCTGCTAATAAAATGGATGAATCTTGTTGCTGCAGATGTTTATCTTGCTGGTACTGTTATGTTGATTTTTGGTATGGGCTTATATGGATTGTTCATCAGCAACACACCTCCTGATGTGTCGCCTTCTGTTGACCGTGCCCTTAAGGGATCATCTCTCTTTGGAATGTTTGCTTTGAAGGTAATCATAAATCCTACAATCCTGTAGCAGAGGATGGTTGCGATTATCTTAACTGTTGAATTATCTTAACGAACATGTATATATTGTCGCCTTTTCAGGAACGGCCAAAGTGGATGAAAATAAGCTCGCTTGACGAATTGAAAACAAAAGTAGGACATGTTATTGTAATGATTCTTCTTGTAAAAATGTTTGAGAGGAGCAAAATGGTTGTGATTGCCACAGGTTTAGACTTACTTAGTTACTCAGTATGTATTTTCTTGTCATCAGCATCTTTGTATATTCTTCATAATCTACATAAGCAAGATTAGAATGTAGTGAGCACTGTAATATTCTGAATTATATATATGTAAATGGAGAATCATATGGTCCAAAATATTACCGTTGAAAACTTCTGCTCATATGTGAAATTCTGGTATTGGATATGAGATGTCGAAAGAGATGTTATGACACTAATATCTGAACAATTATCAATATATGAACAAGATAAAATGCAGTTAACAGACACAAGTGATTGTTAATCCAGTTCGGTGCAAACACACCTACATCTGGAGACTACCAAGTCAGAAAGAAAATCCATTAAACAGAATTAGTTTGAAGACTCTCAGCAAACTCTCTCTAGTTTACAATCTTCGCACCTAATCTCTACCCGTGTAACTTCTATCTAAGACACCCTCAGATATGAGACACCTTTCACTCCTTTACAATCACATACAGTGATAAAAACAGAAAATAAAAAAATAGAAGACACACTTCAAGGACAACACTTATCTTGCTTAAAAACTTCAATCAAGAACAATGCACTCGTGCTTAAAAGCTTAGAGTGGACAACTTACAACTCAACGAACTCAGTCCAATTCACACATCAAAGTGATGAATGAATGACTCACAAGAAAATAACTAACAAAAGACTCAAACCCTAACAAAAGACAAAACACAGCTTTCTCAAAATCTTCTCTCTACCTTGCAAGTAGAGTTAGCACGTCTTTAAATAGAAATCATTCTTCATGGGCTTGGGCAAAAGTAATCCATAATTAAAGCTAATTATTCTCCATATTTTTTTGCACAAAAATAACAACAAACCATTATTCAAAAGGAAACAGAATATACTTGCTTCAAATAATGTCACGCCTTGATTTGCGCAAGCAATCAGTTAACAAAGACACACAAAACATTGTAGAAAAAACGCAACAGACAAAATAACATTCTGACTAAATGTTCTGTAAACATATGTCAGGACATCATACTTGACATCATGAACTAAACCCTGCAACAACAAAAAGAACCACGTGCAGAATGTTAAGATCACATGTCAAGACATCATATAGGACATCTTGTGATAACACCAAGTTTTACCAAAATTGCTGCCAATCACAGAACTAACAAACTCCCCCTTTAGAAATTTTTGGCTAAAACAACCAATTGATCACAAGAGCTACCAGAACACATCAGAGAGCACGGCAGCAGCAGAAAAACACAGAAAAGTCTAACATGTCACAAAGAAAAATAGAGCCCCCCTCAAACCAAAGTGCCAGAGAACCATACCACAACACCAGAAAAAATACTCCCCCTCAATCCAGAAACAACAGCAACAACACAACATCCCTCATACTACTTCTCCCCCTTTTTAGCCATAATTAAAGAAATCTCACTAAGATAAAACCATTATTAGAGAACAAGCAGAGAATAAGCATACAGAGCCAACAACGTCAAGAGTGCAGAATGAAACTACAAAAAATTACAAGCCAAAGCACATTAAGTGCTAGAAGAAAAAACAGAGCTATCACCTTCATCACCAGTAGTAGACTCAGAATCATGACCCTTAATATCACCAGTCCTCTCATTAGAGGTAGAATCCTTCCCAACTTCCTCTTCATCTACATCAGCAACCTCAACATCATTACCTTCAGCCTGCTTCATACTTCTAATCAAGGCTTCCAATTTCAGCTTCCTTGCAGTAGTTACACGAATGACTTCTCCCAAATCTCTGCAAGTTTCCTTCAACTCTGAGATAAGCCCAGTCTTGGTAGAGGGTGTCTTCTCAACAGATGTCAAGACAATGTCTGAGGCATGTCTTCCTGCAAACAATTTATAATGGAGAGACAACACATAATCCCTTTTGCAAACCATATCATTACTAGAGAGAATACTAGGATACTGGCTTAGAATGATCTCACAAATCAGTGAAGGAAATGCAATGGGAAATTTGACAGCATTGGTAGTAGCATGCTTCACAATCTGATAAAAAATGTAGCTACCATAGTCAAACTTCACATTTGTACCAACAACAAATATGAACTTTCCTAACCCAACAACAATGGTGGGAGTATGATTGGCAGACACCCAGTTTGCTGCTCTAATCCTATGCAGGATAGCATATTTAACACTCAGTTGACCAGCAAATAGTTTTTCTTTCAAGGGCCATGCAGTTACTTGGTTTGCAGTGATCATCTTGCACACTTGATTATTAGTCACCTCAAGTTCACTTGCTTCTTGCTCACCCCTTCCTAGATACCCGTTAATAACAGCAGCAGAAAACTTAATACATCTCCCCCTTACAAATACCTTACTAAACTCCTTGCTTCTTCTGTCAGCAGTGTCCTCAAGGATGTTCACAATGAACTCCTTGACCAACATATTATAGCACTTAGAAAAACCAGCCACAATCTTCATCTACCCAGCATCATAAATTAACTTCATGACCTCCTTTATCTCAAAAGTATCCTTGCCCAACTCTCTCTCAAGAGCAATTCTTCTTTGGTACACATACTTCCACTTTGGCACATTATCAATAGACTTAGTATCAGACCTGGCATTTCTCTTCTTAGAAGCAGTGGTAACTTTGCTCCATGTTTTAGGAGGTCCAACAGCAGTCTTCTTCTTACTACTCCTAGAAGGAGAGTTATCAATCACAAATTTGTCTCTCCTTGTCTTCAACCTCTTGGCAATCCCAGGAGCCACTTTCACAATCAAT